ACAAGTCACTGTAAGCCTGTCTTTGTACTTTTGTGCCGCCACCTGTAGGACACTTAGCTCTTCTCTGATTCGTGTCAGGCAGTAACTGAGGCAATCCGTAGCTGCACTGTGGAAGCCAGTCCACTGCTCCAAATCAACGATACAGCAACTTCTTCCACTATTCTTGAACTGTTTATTTATTCGAAAGCGAAACTTTGCAGCTTTCTCCGTGCAAGCATGAACTAGTAATATTGCCCTTTAATATTATCAACATTTAACTTCCAAAAAATGAGTACCCGATTGCTTTAGGTAGACATGAGAAGTGCAGCCAATTCACATCTGATTCCGATTATCTTAAAGACGCCGTCGCTTCGTCCCGAAGAAGGATTTGAATTGAGGACATCCCCTCCCAAACAAGAATTCGTCTCCAATTGGCTGATTTTATCTAGCTGAAGTCATCGTGCATTCAGCATACCCCGATCACGTGTCGACTCTTGAGAGCAAAGCAGTTCTCAGAGGTAGAACTCGGGCCCCTTACATGTGGAAGCAATTACATTCTTCTGTTCAGGGTTCAGCTACATCTTTCCGAAGACAGTTTATGGCAGCTTCGCATGCCAGGAGAGAGAACTCTCGTCTTCAGAAAGCTGCAGACTTTTCCCCCTTCCGGTCACTAAAACTGAATGTAAGAAAAGGCATTTGTCTTCTATCCGGATATGAGGAACTAGCCGTATCTCGCCTTTCCGAAATGAGAGCCTGGTTACTGGCTGGACGACCAAGAGTCGGAGTTCGAGTCCCGGTGGGGGCAAGAATTTTCACTTCTCCATGTCGTCCAGACCGGCTCTGGGGTCCACCCAGCCTGCTATGCAATGGGTACCGGTGGCTCTTTTCCCGGGGGTAAAGCGGCACGGGCATGAAACTGACCACTCACCTCGAGCTAGTGCCGAAGTCAATAAAATAATACTGCTAATTATTATTATTTTATTTGAACTGCAAATGGGTTGTTACCCGATGGCAGTGATACTACAATAAGACAGAACACACAAATAGCACACATCACACAAAATAACACACCACACTCAAACAAAACACAGCACACAAAACTACACGAGCAATAGGGGACACACTGCACAAAATGAGTACAATGCAAATACGATTACAACTTCAATTACAACTACAACTACAACTACAACTCCAACTCCAAGATGCACTCCCCCACACGCCTTTATGGCATAGTGCGTAATTAAACACAAGGAATACTTGACCTTTATTACCTTTTCCGAAATGACTAAAGAGGGCAATAGCATCCACAGGTTCGTACTCACACAGTGTCGACACCAAGAGTTCTGGAAGGTAAAGGTAGTTAAGGACAAGACTGAATAGAGACACTGGACACCCAGTGGTTTGCCGAAACCCCAAAGCTAGACACACAGTTCAGCTCCGGCACTGAAACCAGAAAACGGGTAGGACATTACAGATTGCTTAAACCAGAGAAACCAGAACCCCCAAAATGAAGATAGGAAGCAGACGGAAGGTTGAAGGAAATCGAATACCGGAAACTCAGGAAGAAGGAAACCGAGAACGTGAAGAAATATGTTACCAGAAGACCTGACAGAACAGTGCCATTGTAGCGATATCTTAAAGAGACATACTGACTGACAGAACAACACAATTGTAGCGATATCGTAAAGAGGCATACACGCCACAGAAAAAAAGTGATAATAAAACCGAAAACCAGATATCAGAAACCACCTGAAGAGATAATCCCACCAATACCGATGAGCCATGCATCAAACCCAAAATCCAGGAGTGTACATTACCGAGAGGAACAGCGCTGTGCAGAAGACCCAACGGGTGTGCCACCAAATCTCGTACAGGAAGGAGAAGTGGGACGGGAGAAAGGAGCACGCCCAGACACCGCGATGGAGATATCATAAATGCATAAGAAAAGGAAAACGGATTATACTTACAAAATCGCAGCGCTTGAATATCAACGGAACGCACTTCGAAACAAAAACAACAGATGCTGGAAGGATTTCGTACAGTATAATGATATTTCTGCAAGAGGGTGGTTCACGAGGACTTTAATATTCATGTCAGGGTGGGTATACGGTACACACACAAAATATCGTGACAGATCAGAGGGATGCAACAATATTAAAAATATCGAATTAACATAGGTAGAGAAATTACCAAACGACAGGAGTACTGCGACACTGCGCCATCTGCCACAGAATTACATCGTAGGTTTCGAAGTTAACTGTGTGATACCCCGAAATGATTACGCGAGGGCTTACAGGATCTTTAGTAAAAACCGTATCCTTGTCTACGTAAAGCCCAGACAGGAATACTTACACAACTACAACACGGAATATATGTAATAGGGATCTCGCGAAAAGCGAGAATGTGACGGAAACATTGGTAGCCGCCATGACGGATCGACTGTCCATCATGCTGACAAATCACACTTGACGCACAAATAAGAGGAAGATAACTTGTGACACTGGGCACGACATTACTACAAGACGAGGAAACAAATCACAGAGATTGAATTAAACGGAGGCTAGCACAATAACATGGGTAGACCAGCATGCAAGGAATCAGATATGGTTTTTCTCCATAAGAGACGGCTGTATACAATACAGTTACGCCCATGTATATACGATCAATTAAACGAACAGAATGTCGTCATGGGAGTACGGAAATAAAGTTTCTCAAAGCAGAAGTTCTACGAATACACAGAAGACGGTAGCATACTAAAAAAAAATATTGAGAATGAAATATTCGCCGCTAAAAGAACGAATATCTTTATACCAATTCCAATCGAAAACACTACGAAGAATCACAGGCGCACCATGGTACGTAACAAACGGAACTATCCAGAACGATCTCAACATACCCCTCATCACGGAAGAGATCAGAAAACATGCCACCAGACACCGTACTCGGATAACAGGACACGAGAACCCGCTAATCGTTGAATTAACGAAACCACACCCAGCAGCAAGACGACTGAGGACAACCTGGCCAGAAGACTTACGTAACTAAAAGGTAGAGTACTGCCACTGGGCAGCTGCCGCCTTCACGACATAAACACCCATCGCATTTACTTATTACTTACAGTGGTCAAGTAGATTGTAAATTGACGTAAATAAATAAATAAAAAAAATCTTTATACCAAATACTGCAGACAACCGGCAGACGTTCCCAGATGTATGGGGCAGATTGGAGGAAGACAAGTTTCCAACTGTTGATAGTCGATCATCAAAGAATGGGTTGTTATTACGCTGTTTCAGTAGGAGACAGGAATGGACATAGAAGAAACCTTCGAGGAACTGATAACGGAAGGATTATGGGCAGTTGTGAAGCAAAGGACTTCTAATAAATCACCAGGCGAAAAGGGAATATGTCACGAATTTTATGTATCATACTGGGAAACAGACATGTATAGTGGAGTACATGAAGACGGAAGCCCGGGGTCATTGCATTCCGAAGCGGATCGCCGGGAAGTGTATGCAGCTGTCACCCAATAACAATATTAAACAGGCGCCGGTATAGCGACGGGCTGGACGGCCCGGGTTCGATTCCCGGCAGGAACAAGATTTTTCTCCTCACAGCTTCCAGACCGGCTCTTGGGCTCACCCAGCCTCCTGTGTAATGGGTACCGGAGGTAAAGCGGCCGGGGCGTGAAGTTGGACCACTCACCTCCATTAAGTGCCGAGGTCAAGAATGGTGGAGCTGTACCTTCACTCTCCCATATATCTATAGAATAGTGCTTAACTAATTTAAGCACAGGAACAACTTTTCCTGACTAGAAAATATTTGCAAGAGTCATAGCCAAAACAGACAGCGATGTGTTTGTGTTTAACAGGAAAGAGGCGAAGCCAGTGCGGTGAGACTAAGTCCCTTGTACTGCGGCTACTTCTGGCCTATTGTACCAGCCCCAGATGATAGGTGAGGGTGATTGTGGAGCAATTGGTGGAATGAAGATTGGCAGGGGAGAAAACCTGCCCCAGCGCTACTTTGTCCACCACAAATCCCACTTGACCAGACCCGGGATCGAACCCGGGCCGCCGCGGTGGGCAGCCAGCTACTAAGTGAGGGTGATTGTGGAGCAATTGGTGAAATGAAGATTGGCAGGGGAGAAAACCTGCCCCAGTGCCACTTTGTCCACCACAAATCCCACTTGACCAGACCCGGGATCGAACCCGGGCCGCCGCGGTGGGCAGCCAGCTACTAAGTGAGGGTGATTGTGGAGCAATTGGTGAAATGAAGATTGGCAGGGGAGAAAACCTGCCCCAGTGCCACTTTGTCCACCACAAATCCCACTTGACCAGACCCGGGATCGAACCCGGGCCGCCGCGGTGGGCAGCCAGCTACTAACTTAGTATATATATCGCCGAAGCGAGTAAATAGTCTGTCACAATCTTCTGTGGACAGTTTGTCATTTCGATGGCTTCCCTGGTGATATGGGAGGCGTTAGTTTCAGATGTCGGTTAGGACCTCTGTTCTTTCGAGATGAATTCCGTGTTTTGTCTCTGAAGTAATCAGCCCACTGTTGATTGCTATTTGTGATTCTTTGTAGTCCTGTCAGACAGTGCCTTTATAATACCTCACGTAACCGACATCACACACTCCCATATCCCTTCCAATTCACTATTTACCTCTCATGTCACCACCTGGCAGTATACAGTGTGATTCTAAATTATTGATGGGGTTTCTGTGGCCTATAATTTTCAAACCAGAAAAAATAAAATAAAACTGCTTATGGAACATGAAAGTGTAGCGCAAGAAGTTTTATTACATTTAAGCAGTATATTTTTTTGGCTTGAAGATTATAGGCCACCGAAACCCCGACAATAATTTAGAATCACCCTGTGTAACGGACTGTTCAAAGCTCTGTTAAGTGAACCATAAATAGTGGGATGGATGAGCCCTAACTATTGCACCCCATATTGCATACAACAGTGACACATATTACTGAGTACTTAAAACACAAAGTGAAATGTGGTTACTTCTTTCAGCACTGTCCCACGATTTCTCTCAGACACCATACAATACAACTACAGAGGAGGACGATATCGCTCGCTTCATGTGCCAAATCGAATCTGTTCCGAAGGCTATGGTTTCTTGGGAAAGAAATGGAAAACCTCTACCTCATAATAGCAGGTATGTATTATGATGTGCTTGATTAAGGTCCAGTGACGTTTGTATATATTAATTTTAGTTTTATTTGGATAAATTTTGGCTAGCATTTTTGCCCATTGTTTTATGTAAAATGAAATGTTTTTGTATCTTTACTAAGTAAATGTATCCCTGTAACAAGCCATGGCGGCCCATAGGGTTGTGAGACGTTGAGGTTTGGACATTTTCTAGACAATCGGCTCACAGATGGTGGTGAAGTTGTCAGCTTTACGCCCCAGCCATTTGTTACTAAGTAGTATATGAAGTATCACTCACCAGTGTGAGCACATAGGTTTGGTTTGTTTCTGAGCTGTAAATAAAACATCTTTGGCCAGTATGAGTATATGGCTTTCTTATATTTCTAAGCAAAAAGTGAAACATCCTGTCAGCCAGTTTGAGCATGTGGCATTGTTCTATTTCTAAATAATAAATGAAACATCTCTTACCAGCATGAGCATATAGCTGCATTTTGTTTTAAATGGAGCACGTTTGCCGATATGAGTATATGGTTTTGTTTTGTTTCTGAGCAGGAAATGAAACACGCTCATCAGTGTGAGCACATGGTGTTGTTCATAATATTGCTAGTAATATTGGAAAATTGTCTACCTGGTTCAGCACTTATAATTTATTGACAGTTACTCAGTTTTCCACTTTATGCAGATGTGCCACTGGAGATTTTGAGCTCCAGAATAGTGTTGAATGCAGAGAGGATGATTCCTAAGGTTCAGGAGAAGTGTTGAATGCAGAAGTTGGTTCCTAAGGTCCAGGAGAAGTGTTGAATGCAGAGAGGTTGATTCCTAAGGACCAGAAGAAATGTTGAATGCAGAGAGGTTGATTCCTAAGGACCAGGAGAAGTGTTGAATGCAGAGAGGTTGATTCCTAAGGACAAGGAGGAGTGTTGAATGCAGAGAGTTTGATTCCTAAGGGCCAGAAAAATTGTTGAATGCAGAGAGGTTGATTCCTAAGGTCCAGGAGGAGTGTTGAATGCAGAGAGGTTGATTCCTAAGGACCAGAAGAAGTGTTGAATGCAGAGAGGTTGTTTCCTAAGGACCAGGAGAAGTGTTGAATATAGAGAGGTTAATTCCGAAGGACCTGGATGAGTGTTGAATGCAGAGAGGTTGATTCCTAAGGTCCAGGAGAAGTGTTGAATGCAGAGGTTGATTCCTAAGGTCCAGGAGGAGTGTTGAATGCAGAGAGTTTGATTCCTAAGGGCCAGGAAAATTGTTGAATGCAGAGGGGTTGATTCCTAAGGCCCAGGAGAAGTGTTGAATGCAGAAAGGTTAATTCCGAAGGAACTGGATGAGTGTTGAATGAAGAGAGGTTGTTTCCTAAGGACCAGGAGAAGTACTGAATGCAGAGGGGTTAATTCCGAAGGAACTGGATGAGTGTTGAATGCAGAGAGGTTGTTTCCTAAGGACCAGGAGAAGTGTTGAATGTAGAAAGGTTGATTCCTAAGGTCCAGGAGAAGTGTTAAATGCAGAGAAGAGATAGGTTGATTCCTAAGGTCCGGGAGAAGTGTTGAATGCAGAGAGGTTGATTCCTAAGTACCAGGAGAAGTGTTGAATGCAGAGAGTTTGATTCCTTTCTCTGTAGCCCTGTTAGCTGCCTGTTCATTAGAGTGAGATGCCAAGTGGTGGTTATGTTCTATTTAGTTTAACTGTATCAATTAAAGTGCTTAGGTTATGGTCAGTTATACAATCAAACTGGAGGTTATGTCCATGGTCAAGAAAGCGTTTTCAGTAAAACCGTGTTACTTGCGTGGTGTTAACGATAGATAGCTGCTGAAAGTGGTGCCCTCCAGTACTGAAATGCAGGTCACACTAATGCAACAATTTCTGTGACACATTTTGAAGCTAATTCAGATTTCTTGTAAGACACCGAGAATTAAGCCTCCAGGGTGTATCGGTTATTTTTGTAACAGTTTTGCAGTATTCTAGAAGTAAGACCAGCACGGATTCTGATGTGTTCAGTGTAACTGCTTTGCTTGCCTTACATGTTTTCCCATCCTTGCTCAGTTGATTAGGCTCTGGCATCTCACTTTGGAGACCCAGGTTCAATCCTGTGTGACTATATGATGGGCGAAGTGGCACTGGAGAAATAGATTCCTCTAAATTTGAATCTTGGCATAATTGCACTTGAGATCAGAGGTTAACTGCAGAAATGACATTATCACGGAGATCACAAAACGTATCCTTTCTTTAGGTAGATGTTTATATGTACTTAAGAAACATCTGAAGTCAAAACTGATCTCAAAATGAAACTGAATTGCTGATGTACAAGACAGCATGCCTCTGAGATCTGGGTGCTCTGTAGATAAAAGGTCATTAGGTCTATCTGAAAGAAGAGTTCTTAGATGCAGTTTTGGAGCAGTGCAGTATAAGGGTACGTGGAGGAATTATGTAAGTTATTTAATGAGCCAGCTATTATTAAATATAAAACTAAACAGATGAAGCCTGACCAAGCATATTATACTAGTATGTATGGAGAATAGTAGGACAGTCAAGAAGGTGTTTGGTACCAGACCTGAAGGGACTACTGAAACTGGAAGGCCCAAACTGAGATGGAAGAATGGTGTGGTCCAGGATATCAAAGACCTGGGAGCGTGGATCTGGAGGAATAGAGAAGACTGACTGATGCCACAGTCCACATCAGACTGTCGAGCCAATGATGATGGTGATAAAGTGGCAGTGGACCAAGTTTATCTCTAAGTTTCTTGAGTTTTCTCCTACTAATCATCATTCTACCATTGTTCCATACTGACCTTTCACTGCCTCTTGAGGTGTGTGTTTGCTCCAACCAGACAGTACTTTATCACATCCTCTTGTCTCTTTTGTTGGGTGGCCTGGCTGCTTGCAGTGTGTGTGTATGTGTGTGTGTGGTACTTTGGTGTGTTGGTGTGCTGTACTGCTGAAAGTACATGTAACTCTGATTCTCAGCACCTGTTGTTTGCCCCTGTATCTTTCTGATTGCCCTCTCTGTCCATGCACTTGCATTTTCACAATGACTGATGCTATGTTACCATTACTTTGTACGTTTTATTATAATTTTAGTATTCACTGCACTTCTCCTTAATTATGTGTAAAGTGCCATTTAGCATTCATAATCTTCACTGTAGGAGTCTGGATAGCTCAGTTGGTGTAGTGGTGGGCTGTGGGCTGGATGGCCGAGGTTCAGTTACGAGCAGTACAAGATTTGTCTCTGTTTGACAGCCTCCAGACAGGCTCTGGTGCCGCCCAGGCTCTTTTCCAATGGGTACTGGGAGGTGTTTTCCCCAGGGGTGAAGCAGCAGGGGGCATGAAGCTGACCACTCACCTCCATCTAGTGCCAAGGTCAAGGAAACATGCAGCTGTACCTCTTCTTCCCTGTTCTTCTTCATGGCATAGTACTTAACAAATTTAGTGCAGGGACAATTTTACCTTTTTTACTTCTAATATTCACTGTTTGTAAACTGATGTTTAAACATCTTGGAAGCACCCATAAGAAGGAAAGAAAAGCCAAATCTGGGCAATGTTTATGAATGTTTTGAGAAGTACTGAGGGGAACACAAGAAGAAAATGAAAACTCTTAGAGAAGTTGGAATTCAAAATTTGTTCATAGAGTTAGAACAGAAATGTGTAAATGCTGTGGCCATGTAAAAACAGTGGATAGAACAAGAATACCAAGAAGGACAGTATATGATTTGAAGCTGAATGAGCTGGTACACACCGTTTTAACCAAGTACTTGAAGACATGAACAGAAAGAGCTGTCAAATCAGAGATGAAAGTTTGTGGAAGAAAGAAGGTAGTGGTGTAACAAGAGGAATAATTATGATAAAAAGAAGAGGAAGACAGTGATGACAGTGAAGACTTGCCCAAGGGTCTTCATCATTAGGCGCAATGTTTTGGAGGAACATACTGCAATTAGTACACTCAGGAGAAACCTGAAGTAATTTCACATCTGAATTTTCATGCGGGGCTGCAGTAAACAGGTATTGGAAACTGAAGTAAGCAGCTGGGATCAAACATATGATGGCTGATAAAATAATGTCATTTCACAGAGGCATAATGTTTGGATTTTTGCAGGTGGAAGTAACAGATTTAAATTGTTTTGGATTTTTCCGTCATTTGTATATGCGTTTATAAAATCCAAGCCAGGTTATGTTGTCACAGGTTTACAAGGTTGCAATGTGTCTGCATTGAAAGCTAAATCATTGTTTTATTTTCAGGTATTTTACATTAGACTCAGGTGTTCTATACATAACCAAGGTGCAGCATAGTGACGCAGGTACTTATAGGTAAGTAGGGAGCACTTTTTTACTGACTTCATTAGAGGCCGTATTTCTATGAAAGATATCTTTTAAGGACCGATGGTGTGTGCATTAAAGGCGAAAGTGAGAGATAAGTATTTGCCACAAGTATGGGAGCTCCCTCTCCCAGTTGTGGCATTATCTGTCGGACTCTGTATTTGCTCTGTTTCCATAGCTGAAAATAAATATCTTCTCTGGAATCAGTCTGCTTGGCATTTTGAATCATTGTATTGTCACATGATGTGACTGTAGATGGGGTTTCGGTTTGTTAACTGGATTTATTGGACATTTAACTTGTAACTACAAATTACAACAGTCTCACTGAGTTACGCATTCCAAAGATCACTGTAACTTCAGAACATATAAAGTCTTCTCATTCTTCACTAGCCATTACTTGTTAGCGGCTTCTAACGGCAGACATTCCTCTTCCTCTGGGTTCCCTAACTGTCACCAGCTTCTCACTTCTGACAACTGCAACTACTAGTCCTTGTTACATAGCCCTTGCATGGACCGCACAGAAAACATCTGTTACATCTTGTTGCCAAAGACATGTCCACAACTGTTCCCTAGCAACGGCTGTTGCCTGTTTACATAGCTGTTACTTGGCAGTGGGTCCACATGTCACAATATTATGCCATCTGTAGTTAGGCCACATAAGAGTCGAATGGTAAGGCGACAGATGAGTGAGAAATTGGAAAACTGTTGAGGCCTATTCAAGGGTCTCTTCTGGTATTCTCCTGGAGGAACAGGAAACCCACAGAAAACCTCGGGGGCAAACTGAGCACCACTTGAATACAAGCCTAGCACTACCGCTAGAGGAGCCTTCGGACCATACTACTGTGTAGTATGTAGTAAACAAACTTAATTTTAATTTCTGAACAGTTCAGCAACCATCCAGTACAACAGTTGATGTATATATTATTACAAACAGACAAACATATTTTGTGTCTTAAGACTGGTCATGGAGGGTGTATGCAACGTTATAAGCTACTAAAGCTCACATTCCCAGATTACATGTATATTTTATACATCATTACAGTTTTGTCCAAACTGTTAAAAGTATTAAAAATCTGTTTTATCTGCAGTAGGATACACAGTGTTGACAGAAAAGTTACATTTTTGCATGTATTAGATATAGTCACTATAACGACAACAGGCTATGGGCTGGATGGCCCAGGTTCGACTCCTGGCAGTGCAAGATTCTTTTCTCCTCCACAGCATCCAGACCGACTGTGGGCCCCACCCAGCCTTCTATCCAATGGGTACTGGGGATTCTTTCTCTGGCGGGTAAAGCAGCCAGGGCCTGTAGTTGACCCCTCTCCTCCATCTAGTGCTGAGGTCAAGAAAGGTGGAACTATACCTCCACTCCCCCATATTCCTTCATTGCATAGTGCTTAATTAAGTAAGTCTTGAAGCTAGATGAACATTTTGGCAACCATAAAAAGGCGGACAAATGTTCTCTGGTGCCTTGCTGTCTCCCTTGACATTCCTTCTGCACAGCTATTGTACTGTTTTACTTGAACAAATCAAGAGTTATTTAACATTTCTGGATGTCTTTTGCAGTTTTGTCTGTGATGCAACTGACATGGTCAGGTTGTCAGAACTTGGCAGAAGATAACTCCGAAACACTAAATGGGAAATAAGTCACCAGTTAGATATATTTTTTTGGCACTGACGGGTGGACGTTACTTGTTTTACCTGTTTCATTAAACCTGTTCACTTATCAAAAAGACACTTTTCGTAGTAATGCTCTAACCGGCCTGTATTTCAGTATACAAAATTCTTTCTTACGTTCCACGTTTCTAGTCACTTCCTTGACTGCCGTGCCATCTCATTGGATACTGAGGACTACCTTTTTATAACCTACTTTCTGTGTTTTTGGAAAGGTAACGGTAGGTTTATGAGATCACCTTGCTATCTCTCTCTCTCCACCCCCACCCCCACATTTAATGTTTTTTTTCCCCCCCTTTGGAGCTACAGCCCCAATTTTGGCGTTGGCCTACCTCCATGAAACTCTCAGTTTCACTTCTATTTACTAGACCTTCTGAGTGAGTGAAGACAGTACACGCCTTACACTGCTGGCTACCATGACTGGCGTATTTTATTTTTGGTATTGCATAATGTGTCTAGGCAGTGTGTGAACATTGTATGTTTCATACTCTGCCGGCTGTTTGGCTTTGTACTTTGCCTGTATCATACATAGATTTTGTTCTCGGAATTTATTTTGTAAGTCATGCATCACGATTTTTAATACTAGAAGATCTGCTGGAATAATTGAAGAGATTATCTTGAATCAGTTCCAGTTTGATATATAAGCTAAATAGGCTACAGCTTAAGGCTTCCAGATAAAAAAAAGAAGAATCATGCACAAGATTACAAATCACTTCCCTGTATCTCAGAAAATAACGAACAAATGACCCACCGTGTCCCATTGATGGAAACAATAGACAGGAACAGCTGTGATGATCAGAAACAAATTGGCAAGTGGCATTGCTCTCTCAGCATTGATATGAATTTGTTGTCAGACAGTGTTTCTGTGCAGTTCTGCATACAGAGACCCCTAAAACTGCCTCGATTTTGCTAATGCTATGCAAAGAAGCCCTGTGGATCAGTGTCTTCCAGCCCTGAAGTGAAATCTTGTAATGTGAATTGTATTTTCCCATAGGTGCAATGTTGTCATTGGGGGTTATGTTCCGAAAGGACCAGAAAAAGACAAAATATAAATTATCAGTTTTAATTGTCTGAAATTTAACATATGAACGTTTAACACAGATTATGCTATAACATTTGGAGACCCTGGTACTCTGTTAAAAATACCAGTAACACTTCTTTAATTGAACTTTTCTCCTTATGAACCATGATTAAGGGGGTACATACCACAAAATTGTTAAAAGTGAACTGTGAACTCTTATTTAAGATGAACACCAGAGTAGAAGTCGAACTGCCTGGGTGTCATGTTCATTTTGTTTCCATTTTCATTTATAGATGTTTGTTTTTTGTTTGGAAGATATTTTGGATGGCAGGCCAAGCCAAGCCAAGGATGCACACTTCATTATAAATGTTCGTATGAACAAAATGCCATAATGTGAATCTTTGTAAAGCAGGTTCTATCCGAGTCATCCAGCCTTTCTGTTCTGATGAATGTTGGTAGTTACAACCATATGATAACCATCACTGGTGAGAAGTACAAGGAATATTTTTACTGTGCAGACTGGGTCCATGACCCTGTGCTTCATGGCGACCGATGAACTACTTGCCGTGAGTCGCATGCGAATTTTGCTGATGAATCAGTAAGTCTGATTGCTGATAATGTTTGGAATGAAGGGAAGTAATTAACTTTCCAACAACTCCTGTGAGTTATGAATTGCAACTACTTCATTCCGAATGTTGCCAGCCATTAGGCTTGCTGATTCATCAGTAAAATTCATATGCGCCTCGCGGCAAGCAAGCAGTGTACTGGTTGCCATGAAGTACAGAGCTGTGGACCTGATCTACACAGTAAAAATATGCCCTGTACTTTGAGCTCTTCAGTTTGCCAAAGGGGGCTGGCAAGGAATATAATAGTGGCCAGGAATAACAGAGTTCCTTCCATTATCTCAGTATGAAATATTTTATGTATTTTTAGTTGAATTTATTTTCATATACTTATTTCTTTAACAGGTGTGTGGCCACAAACTTGCTCACAAAGAAATCAAGGTACAGTTCAGAGGGCCACTTGGAAGTTGTACCCAAATCTCCGTTTATTCGCTTGCCACAATTCATATCAGTCAGTAGTGCAATGATTGAGACTCACGCAGGTGCAAATGTGACCTTGGATTGTGCAGCTACTGGCTTGCCAATTCCAGAGCTAACTTGGACCTTCTTGCCACGGGTTCCGGATGGCAAGCTGCATCCAATAACAAACACCAGTCGGAATGGACTGAATGTGGTAACATTGCATCATGTCACACCTGGGCAGACTGGTACATACACCTGTACAGCGAGTGTTGCACATGACAAACTAATTACTCCAATTACACAGGTGAGCAGCCATTTTGGTAGCATTGTATGAATACATATGTTATGACCTGATAAAACCAGTATTCTGAGGAAATATGTGTGTAAAATGGGGCACTCAAGAGCTACAGTTTCAGCCCAGAAACAAATGCCTCAGATTAATTTGCATATATTAAAATAACACTCAATACATCAATAATTTTGTTGATGATTTTCACAATAGCCTGTAGGAAAATATATATGTATGAGTGTTTATTTCACAAATCATTGTTCAGCAGTTTGGCATGTACACTAAAATTGTGTGTGTTTATGGTAATAATATAATATGTTTTGTGCGACCATGGAGTGTTGGATCTTGGGCCAGTCTTATTGCTGCATCGTTGTCGACCTGCAGAATAGGAACCTCATTTACATTGGCGATTTCCTTGAAGAGTCTGCTTAACCAGAGAACCTCTCTAGTAGCTTCAGATGCTGCAACAAGCTCAGCTTCAGTACTTGATATGGCCACACTACATTGCCTACGACTTTTCCATGAAATCGTTCCTCCAGCAAAGAGTACAATTGCTCCTGAGGTGGAACGAGCAGTTTTCTCACATCCACCGAGATCTGCGTCGCTGTAACATTCTAAACTGTTTGAGTTTACATTGGAATTATAAACTATACCATAAGACAAGGTGCCTTTAATATAACGCAGTACCCTTTTCAGCTTGATAACATCTTCATTTGATGGATTTTCAAGACATCTGGAAAGAACGCCTACGCTGTAAGCCAGGTCTGGCCTGCTACCAATCATTAAATACATAAGTGCTCCAACTGCCTGCCTATATGGGAAGTTTACTGACATCTTCTGCTCCTCACTGTTCTGCATCTGATGAACTTTCCTTAATGAGGAACCTTTCTCTATAGGCGTAGATACAGGTGCACAGTTTTCAAAGATGAAACGTTTCAAAAGTTTC